TATCAGTCGGGCAGGATATAGTTTATTATATAATAATACCTTTTATCAGATAGATTGGTTTCACTTACAGGTATATTTTGCTCTACAAAAAAATTGAAGATCGCAAAATTTGTATTGTTCAGTATTATAACTATTATTATTTTAAAGAAAGCAAAACGCACCGATGGACGACGGTATATTTCGTGCATATACTTTATAAAAAAAAAAGAACAGACACAAAAAATAGAATTTTCCTAATCAAAGACGAACAACAATATCGAAAGTGACAAATTTAATACGACGCCAAAACGGAATTGACTTATATTGAAAAAGAATTACTTATATAATTTATACAATATCAGACACATACACATACCAACACACACACACACACACACACACACACACACACACACACACACACACACACACACACACACACACACACACACACACACACACACACACACATATATACATGCAAGCACGCATGCACACATACACGTACGCACGCATATAAGTCACGTATTGAAGTCGCTTAATAATTAAAGGTCCATATATTATAGGCAAATGCCAACAAAGGTCTACTGAACGGATGAAATTCCGCAACTTTATGGACCGTAATTCGAGATGCGTGTAGGAACGTACATGTTTGAATTTAATGGACTAAATTTTACGACCGTTCGACCTGTTGAGCTTAGTTTACATTATGAAGCGTTCTTCTAATATAAATTCCTCCTAAAATTTGTCGGAATTATGTGTTATTTTTCAAAATCGATTGATCAATTTTTAATAAGAATTAGTCTAATGTATTATTGATATATATTTATTTAAAACGTACTCTGACAACGAATTAAAATGTCAATAGTAGAATAACATACTATTACCATGCAAAATATGTAAAATTATTTGTAAAATAATTAAATATAATCTAACATCTAAATTGACATTAATGTATATATATTAGCTACCTATCAATTAAATTTTGCTACACCCAAAAAAGGTTTATATATTTACTCTTCTTAAAAACATTGTAACAACTCTTATTATGTACATGAATACATTATAATAAATAAAATCTATTTGTAGTGACACAATTCCGTCTTTTTAAAGTTATTTTGTAAAATCTAATGTGTCTATGACACATAGACGTATATGTTTTCTATTATTAGTGACACAAACAAAGATGTCATGTCAATTTACGCTGCATTTAGTAATGCAGAATTTTAGATTGTATTGAGCAACGAGGCTCAAAAACGGGTCCATTTTTTGTCAGCTGATTGTCAAATTAGCTGACTCGTTTTTTTATCAGTGTTCATTATACTTACGCATACAACGTATCTTGACGTATTATTTATAAAATAAAATAAGTACTTACGCATTAAAAAGATGCAGAGATATAAAGACAAAATAAGTATAGAAGTTATAAAGGAATCGCTCCAAACTATTTGTCACGCAAAATTGTATGAAAAAATTGACCCGTTTCTCTCGAAACATTTGTATTTTTATAATTATTATTTCAGCCGTTAACTGTTCACTGTTGAACATAAGCCTTCCCCATAAAGAGAGTTTTGCCAGTAGTTGCCACGCTTGGCAGCCGGAAAGGCAACCGCAGTTAGGCTTTTACAGACATTTTAAGAGGGACGCTATGAATACTTACTCCTTAATACGCTAGAATATGAACAAAATGTAAATAAAATACATAATATGTAAATACAACTGCATAGGCGTGCACTTGACCTGCATTATGGAGAGATGCAGATTCATATCTCGTTAAATCGAGCTGTGGTAAAGTTACATTTTTAATACATATTATATATTTTATCCGCAAAAGAATCAAAGTGTTCGACATAGCCTGAAGGATGAGCAAGCTGAAGTGGCAATGGGCTGGTCATATAGCTCGAAGAATCGACAACTAATGCCGAAGGTTCTTGAGTAGTGACCTCATGCGGGCAAACGCAGTATAGGATGACTCCCCACTAGATGGAGCGACGATCAATAATGTATTGCAGGGAGTCAGTGGATGCAGGTGGCTCGGGACTGTTCCTTATGGCAGTCTATGGGGGAGGCCTATGTTTAGCAGTGGACAGGTAACGGTTGAATAGGTATGACGAGGGTATATTTTTAGGTTGCATCATCCCTCCACTATATGAAACATTTATATGGAGGATATCTACATATATAATCTATTTTTTTTTATACAACTTAGAATGGCAAACAAACTGACGGCCCACCTGATGGAAAGTGATAACCGTCGCCTATAGACATGAGCAGTACCACGGACATAACAGAGCTGTTTCGCCCATGATACTACCCATGCGTTGCCATTGTTGAAGACTCAGATGTTATTCCTCTGTACCCTGTAAATTCACGCAAAGATGCAGAATCTAATAATGTGACTTTGATAACAATTAAGTTAGTGACCCTAGAAGTCATAACCTCAAACTAAATTCACGTAGAAGAAGTTTGCTAACGCCAACTGTAATACAAATATTAGCGAAACATCTGCCTGGGTGTTTGTACATTCAAATAGTGCCAGAGGGCGAGACTACAATCAAGTTATTGCCACTCCTTGTTGGTATTATTAGTTTATTACATTTGCACTTCATAACTATAGACAGATGAACTTTTAGATTAAGTTAACAAGCCTTAGTTAAGTGTCGTCGAGAATTCAAATGTTTACTCGGTTTATTTAATATACTTAATTTGGCTTTTTCATCGCATTAAGTCCCGATTGTGTATTTAAAATATTTATTTAATGTACTTCTTTAATTTTATACATAAATTCACTATATTCTGCAGCTACAAAGCACAAATCTACAAATCACATCACATTAGCAGAGGGAGACTTTGTACAAAAGTCGTTTGTTTGGACACCTCTGTCCCATTTGTGTTTCTACCGTGAAGCAGTTGTGTTTGCATGGCTGTGTTTCGGTTTGAAGGGTGAGATATGGCAGTGAATTTACAGGGTACAGAGGAATAGTAACGCATAAGAGGTGTCATGGACGAAATAGTATACTCTGTTATTTCCATGGTACTCCTCATGTCTACAGGCAACTGTTACCACTTTCCATTAGGTGAGCCGTCAGTTTATTTGCCATTCCAAGTTGCAAAAAACATTAATTTATTAATAATTCATACCACTTTATATATCACTCAGTACCGTTTAGTTCCAAAGAAAGCAGAGCTTGCCATGTAGTCGTATAGGTCTCGGCATAGAATTGGCCACCATATCCTTTCCCGTAGGTGTCGTAAGAGGCGACTAAAGAAGTTTATGGTGGAGGGATGGGCAGCAGCGTACCTTTTTAACACATCATCAAAAACCAAAACTGTGTTGGCCTACCCGCCTGCCAAGCGTGGCGACTATTGACACTATCATCTGAGTCCTCAGGAATGGCAACGCATGAGGGGTGTCATGGGTGAAACAGTATACTCTGCTATGTCCATGGTACTGCTCATGTCTATAGGCGACGGTTACCTCTTTCCATCAGGTGAGCCGACAGCTTGTTTGCCATTCTAAGTCGTATAATAAAAAAATAAAAAATACTGGCAAAACCTCCCATATAGAGGAGGCTGATATAAAAGCAAGTATTGTAGTTTTTGTACGAAATAACAGAAAAAAATATTTGTTTGTTACTTCATAACTCACTCAATTATAAACCGATTTGGTAAATTCTTTTTAACTCAAAGGATATATTTTCATATTGATCTTGTAGAAATATTATTAGAAATAAAATAATTAGATTTTCAATATCAAAGTAATTGATTTTGTGCGGGAATAAGATATACATACATTACAATATGAGACATTATGAGTATGCGAGCCTATATTGTTGTAATTAATCAGTTCTACCCTCAATTAAAATATTTATTTATTTATTTATTACATTCTCTGGGTGAACTATATATTAATTAGGTAACCCATATTTTTTTTATAACGCAGGGAGCAAACGAGCATGCGACTCACCTGATGGTAAGTGACTACCGCCGCCCATGATCACCCACAACACCAGCGGCATTGCAGGTGTGCTGCCGGCCTTTTAAAAAGGAATATACTCTGTTCTTGAAGGTTATGTTGTCGTATCGGTTCGGAAATACTGCTGCTGGAAATTGATTCCAAAGAATGGTTGTGCGTGGAAGAAAGTGCCTTGAAAAACGCACGGTATATCATTTGTACTAATGTAAATCTAATTCAATTTTATTTAATTTGGACGTTTGTCAGAGAAGCCATTTCGTAGTATTTTTATGACATAAAAATATAATGGCAATTCTGCCTGCGCTATCGGTATACATCGGTGAGGCACTAGTCAGAGATGATAGTTGAAGATGAAGTCTAGCCTTTATCCTCGTACCTAACAGTTCCATCCGAGGGGAAAGGGATTGTTAGTAATGGGATCTAGCTGACCCATTACCAGTAATACACCCTCTATCAAATCGACTTCTACGCAATTCCCCCTAGAAACCATCGTGTTTAATTCTAGTGGAATAAGTTACGATGAGGTAACTGAATTGCTTTCATCGTAACCTGTTATCCATCTCTTACTGGTGCCCCGCCAGCATATACCGATAGCACAGGAGGAGTTACCATTCCATTATCACCCGTTAAAAGAAAAACAGTTCCCTCCGCTCTGTTCTTAAACCCCATCTATCATTACTCTCTAGTAATTTAGCTGTATTTTTTTTTTATTATTGTAACCTCAAACCACTGTTATTTATACATTTATTTATTTAAATTTGAATGCACAATTATGTAATATAAGTAATTGTACATATTGCGGATCGATTTGAAATAATCTTGTTTTTATTTACTTTTAAATATATTTATATATTTTTTTTTTACTTTTAAATGTATTCAAAATCGGTTCAGTAGTTTGATTTTTAAATCAAAATAACAAGGATTAAAATCGGCATTTTTTTTTCTAAAACAAAATCTCCTTAATAAGTTTTTGTTATGAGTAGACGGGCTGGTATGATAATTTTGAACAAAATACACAGAATAATAAAAAAAAAAACATTTATTACTCATTTCATCACAATAAAGACACGCAAATACATTTTTTACATTATTTTGTTTAATTTTATATTTCAATAAAAATCATAAAGTCATGATTCTGGTTATTTATATTTATAATTATATTTATTCTTAGTCTTTATTAATTGTTATCAGTAACTCCCATAATTTATAGATTATTCTGTATGATAGATAACACAAGGGAATCTATAACTCTAATATAGTGGTCGTAATATAAAGCATGTGTATGCTATAGGCACTAATCATATACAATATCTAACATTAATAAATTTACATTATTAGGAAATTCATTAACATAATGTAACATAGTAAAAGAAATTACATTAATTTTAATTAAATTATCTCATTAAATACCACAAAACTCAGTATAATACAATGTGAAAATATTCCGAAACTCAGTATAATACAGTGTAAAAATATTCCGAAACTCAGTATAATACAGTGTAAAAATAATCCGAATCTCAGTATAATACAGTGTAAAAATATTTCGAAACTCAGTATAATTCAGACAGTTCAAAATAAAGAAATTTTATTATCTAATTCAAAATACAGGATGAAATCGAAATTCCTTTATTTATTTCCATTTGTGATAAAAAAAACGACGATTATGCATCCAGCTGTCTAAATACTAATTTTTTACGAGAATGCTGGAAATTCGATTTTACATTGCAGAATACATAATACAATAATACAATACATAATACAGTTTAATTTTAAATTAATTAATTTAAAATTTTTAAAGTTTAAATTTTTTTATTTGAAGTTGGTTGAGAAAATCTCTAAACAAAGAAATATTTAAAATAATTTCAATTAAAGTTTTGAACAAAAATTTACAAAATGGTACATATGAATAAAAAAAATTATTCCTATTTCCTATAAAATATAGTATCTACATTATACTGACAATTGGTACTACTTAATAATATTCCTTTAGGATATGAATAGATATGCAATAAATATTAATTAGTTCTGATATTTTTGTTGCCTCATTGATTATAGATACTTGTTACTATAAAAATATCTACAGGATTAGTATGTTCCCATATCCAGTTCTTTTCCACCTAAACTTTCAATATGGCGTTAAAAAAAATTTCACCGCCATTAAATCAAGTTTTACTATCTTCAACTTGTCCGTATTTGATGCAATTTTTTTTCTCTACAATAAATAGTATTTAATTTTATTAAAGAGGGTCTTCCAAAAAAAGACAGAATCTAAAATTGTGTTAAGTTTTATGATTTCTTAACATAAAAATTTAAGATTTAATAAATGTAAATATAATTATTACTGTTACAAATATTATAAAATGTCAAAATTGGTTTGTTTATTTATTACTACTTTATCGAACAGAAGGAAAATTTTATTAAACTTGCTATTGTTAAAACAACAAAAAAAGAAACAACAAAACACAAAATCTGGATCTTGATATAATAAAAATTAATGAAATTCTACCAAATTTGACATCAAATCAAAATGTTATTATTAATGAAAAATTCATAACGTGCCAAGAAAATTGATACAAAATCAAGGCAATGATATTCAAATAATGAATACTACCTAACTTTTTCTCCTTTGTCCTCCATCTTTCTTTTATTTAAATAATTAAAAATTATTACAATAATGGAGTATCTCCAAATATAACAACAAATTGATATTTTTTTGGAAGAGCCTCATTAGAACTACTATATATACTTTTATTTCACTACATTATGTACATTGGATATAATTGTGATTATTTTTACTTGTTTGCTAAAGTCTTCAGTATAATTTGTTAGAAAAGCATCGACACTATTTCATAGTGATACATAAAGGCATAGACAAGTAACTCGTGCATCCAATATGTAAGATATACATCGGTTAGGATCGTAAATTCTATTCTTTATCTATGCAATAGTTTAAGAATAATAATTACCGTCAAACGCTTGTTTAAAAATAAGAACAAAAAATTACATAAAAGGAATGATAAAATAAAAACTGTAAATCATATGGTTGCCTCCTTCCCTCTTATGCAAATACAATTAGTAAAAATGAGACGAAAGATACACCATCAGTTTCTATTTTATTCAATTCATAGCAGGCTAGTTTATAGAAAATGTGTATGTAATTTTTTTTTATACTGACATGTCAATTATTTGTTAATAACAAATTTTACATTACTAGATTATATATTCGACACAGTTTGTGTAGAAAGCATGCAAGCAGATTGTATCTTAATTTGGTAGGGTTATACGGCCGTATAACATTTTCTATACACTAGCCTGCTAATAGCAACTGATGGAGTATCTTTCGTCCTCTTTTTACTAATTATACTTGCATAAGAAGAAAGGAGGCAACCATATGATTTACAGTTTTTATTTTATTATTCCTTCTATGTAATTCCTTGTTCTTAGGTTTAAAATTGAACTACTTGACATGTTAACTACTCTGACAAATCTATCAAATATGGTCAAATACCTAGTTTATAGTCTACGAGTAAAAATTTCAATTCTATACGCATTGCTGTTTTTACATTTCTCATTATTTAATATTAAAATGATAATTGAAACAGCACCATTAAAAATAAATAATATCTCTGACTCTGTATTGGTTCTTAGCAACTTTTAAATACTCCATTAAATTTGATAAATAAGTTATAAATGTCTCATAAAGCTTTCCGTTTCGAAAATTGGTCTATTAACGGGACGATATCTTAATTTTAGGACGTATAGACAATTTTGAAAAATTTAAATCATCATAGTTTTTGTTCACCGAATAAAAAACTAATGTAAACACGAAATACTGATATAATATTTATGAATATAATAAATATTCACCATCTATAATCACATCAAAGTACATTACTAATAGTTTCATTCTATAAAAATATTATTATTTCACAAAATTTCTATTAAAGCCTGCTCCATGCAACTTGATGCGACTTATTTGATTTCAGAATTCGAGATAATATATTTTATACACTAAATACTACTAATGACTACATTACTATGACTTGACAGTTACAGCAACTGGTTTAAATGTCAAATTGACACTGTCAAATTCAAACGTCAAACATCAATTAAACAGAATCTATTACGAAGTATAGCTGTCCAAGGAGATAGATATCTAAAGTCAAAAAGACTCCCGATAACTCGAAATGATTTTTTGACTGGACTCTACTGATTGGCTCTATAGATTGTAAACCAAGTTATTCGTAGACAACTATGCTGTCATTTTAGTTAAAAATATAAACATATTAATAAAACAAGACAATGGGAAGTTAAATTAAATAATAAAAACAATATTAAATGTAAATTTATTTTTTAAACTAATGAAAACATAATAAACATTCGTTTTAATCAAATCAATGATTTAAGAATTTATACCAAAAAATTGCAAAATCATTATTGTAACAAAATTAGTATGAAGCGAATAAGGAGTAAATCCAAAAACGCACTACAGAAAGTGGCATCAAAAACAGATTAGTAATGGTAAAATTAAAAAATAACATGCACATAAACAGATAGCATAAAAATACCCTAGGATTTTTCAAACCGCTTAAAAATGAAGAGAAATATTAAAAAAAAATAAAGCTGGTAATATATGAATATAATATTATTATACACACGTACACACTAATGTATTTATAATTTGTAAATAATGTTAATATTCCCATATAAAAAATATTAATAAAAAAGCAGTCCTTGATATTTTAGTAGTTTCTTATGAGCTTTTTGAATAAGTATCTTGAGAAGCAAACCCGTATCGCATCAATTAAATCGACGACATTCAATATTACAGTGCACATAAAATTTATACAAAATTATTAATTATTATTAGTATACAATTCTCAAATATAAGATTAAGCATCCGATATGTATATGACAATATATTTTTTTTTTAAATTTCAATATTCCCAGTAATATATGACAACTGATTCAATTGTAACTTTTTAGAAGTGTTAATTTATTTACATTTTACAAATTACTAATACTAATTAATATTCGTTGTATCTTAGCCAAAAAAAAAAAATGTTTATACAACACTACACTATTACAATATAGGGGTTTAATAAAACAAATTAAACTAGAAATGCTTTTAGCTTTAATTCTACTATCACATATAAGACTACACCATCATGCGTCGAAAATTCGCAATAGCACAAAATCAAACAGCGTTGAGCTCGGATGTTGCACTAAACACTAATTGTCAAATCAACTCAGCACCTTTAAATCAACACTCAAAAAGCTTACCAACTCGATCAACTACATACACTAGCTAATGTAACCTTTCACATGCTGCTCTTTGAATTTTGTCGTCTACTTTCCTGTTCGAATATTGAGAAACAGTCTGTAACCAATGAATTAAAAGTAATAAATCTTGTCTGTCGTTTCGAAATGCACATGTTTCTTGCCATGCGTCGGAAGCACAACCAACAACCATCAGGCGGGACTGCCTTTCCCATACTTCAAAGTCGCTACGTCCCTCACTGTGTTTGGACTTTTCGGACCGTCTTTTTCGGGTTCATTTATTTCTGGAATGGGATTCTTTGGTTTCTGTGTGTCTACTTCCCTGTCAGCCTGCGTGAGGACTTCTTGCACGTGTATAGTGAGCTCCGGTCTGACGACTTGCGTAAAGGGCAGCAGGGCTCCGGCTACATCCATGGTGTTGTTGATGTTTCTGTGCCACAACTCGAGCACGACGCTACGCCGTTGCTACTTGTACCTCGGTGGGCCGAGCCAACCGCAGCCGAACACCTGATTGACAGACGAAATTATAGATAACGTTATAATGTCAAACAATTACACTAAACGCCTGATCTTTAAGCCAAGATACCTTGTTATAAAGCATCAGAGAACAAACATCTAAGGACACAACCCAGGACACGCAGACATGAGCTAGTTAAGAAAAGTTCGCTTCCTAAATTGGTCTGAACGTAAATCGAATCAAGGTGAGGGTCTGAATTTTCCTATCCTCCTAAATCTTACCCCAAATAAGGATTTAGATTTATGAAGAATATAGATGAATAGATATTCTTTGTTATACCCTCCAAAAGTTAGATTAGTGGTTAGTGATCGTTAGTGATCACATTGGTATAACAATGGACGGCCTTATCTCTAATGAGGTATATAATTTCAGTCATTTCCACTTGACATCAAATTTACTGCTCAATATACCAAGTTTTGTATAATAAAAGAGAGTAGATTTAGTAGAATACAATATATACTCTTCTTTTTTAGTTTCCCTAGTACAAAAATATATTATGTGCACTTATGTATATTTTAGTTATCCTAGTTGCCTTATATGATAAAAGGGGGTAAGGGATAAAAGTAACTAATGATAAGTCTTACTCTTTCACATCACGGAAAACAAATTAATTAGACAGCTTAATTTGTTAATTTGGTCAGTTATTTAATTAAGCATTATAACATTTTGATCCTTCGAGCCAGATTTTTATCTGTACGAGAAGAGAAGTTTCCAATTCAAAGATTCGAATTCCTAATCTGTTTACGACTATCATTTTAACTGAGAGAAAGCCACTGAAACTAACAATTTAACGTATTTTTCTAGGTACAAATAAAATTTCCTATACAAAGTGAAAAATAATATTTGAATTGAAAATTTAGTCAAACTTGAACATTTCTAGGAACTAACTCACGGCCCTGCAAACTATTTGAAGCAAAATTTTATTGTAAGTAAAATAAAATTTTGTAAAAAACAATAATCTGGTTCATAAAACAACCATTCATCTCTTTACCATGATCCCCTTGCCTACTTTGAAAGGACTGTGTTTATTTTTTCATAACATTCAAGACAAACGCCTTTCGCCTTGACGTGCTTCCCGAAGCACCGAGAGGATTTCATTTTGTATACAGGCTGCTTAGAAATAGACACTCTTAAAATATTACATGAATATTTAATTCATTTGCATCGTAATTATCTGTTGCGTTTTACTTGCAAATTACTGTTGCCTAATTCATACAATATTTCTAAGAAAAAGAAAAATTAGATTTTTTTTTATGCAACTTATAATGGCAAACAAGCTGACGGCCCACTTGATGGAAAGTGGTAACCGTCGCCTATAGACATGAGCAGTACCATGGACATAACAGAGTATACTGTTTCGCCCATGATACCCTCCATGCGTTGCCATTCCCGAGGACACAGGTGTTATTCCTCTGTGCCCTGTATGCTTCAACCGAATTCAAATAGAAGGAATTTTTAAAATCGGTATACAATTGTTGAAGTTACGAGGTAACAAACATAAAAAAATTATACAACCAAATTGAGATTTTCCTTTTTTTTAAGTCGGTTAAAAACGATAATAAATCGATTATTCATTCACGCAATAAATACAGCAATCACTATATAAAGCGTAAATCTAGCATTGTGTCCAGACCCTCTAGACAAGTGGCAAGCGAATTCGTCGATGGAATCGACATCGCTAGTGAATCCGTGAGACAGAATGAGATAGCAACGCCGGACGACTCATTCCAACTCACGGACTCGCTAGCGATGTCGATTCCATCGACGAATTCGCTTGCCACTATTCTAGAATTCTAGGTTTCATTTTCAGTCTATTTGTAATTAAACTGCTGACAAGCAGAATTTATCTTGTAATTTATAAATAAATAACTAATTATGAATTGATAATGATTTAAGACATAGCTAAAACTGACATTGCTGAAATTTTATTATTAAACTATTTATTGATTAATTTTACATACATACATACATATCTGTCACGCCTGTCTCCCATTAGGGTAGGCAGAAACAATGGAACGCCAAATGCTTCGATTCAAACAAACCTCTTTCGCTTCTTCCACATTCATCAATCTTGTCATACACGCTCGCCGGTTACGGGTACTTTTAATTTGGCCCTTCTTCAGCACGTCGCCTATTTGGTCGACATACGTCTGTCTAGGGCGGCCGCTACCGACATCTCCATTCATTCTTGCTCGATAAATCTCTTTCGTAATTCTTCTTTCATCCATCCTCTCCAAATGACCAAACCAACGCAACATTCCTTTTTCGATTTTTGTCACTACATCGTCTTTCAGTCCATTAATTTTACAATATGAATATAAATAATTATAAACTAGAGAATATATTAAATAACTATATAATACTAATAACAATTACGATATGAATAGATACACACCGATACTTAAATAATGAATAATAATAATACAGAAAATACGTACTTATCGTGATACACTATTTCGAAAGTGAAAAAAGTGTTGTCCTCCTCTCTCGTACTTGCTGTGCCCAACAGGGTCCATAATTGAAACCATATGTACTAATTATGTATTATGTATTAATTAATTATTATGGAATGCATAAACAAATAAATAAATAAATAAACATTTTCTTCCTTAGTATTAGTTTTTATTTATTCCCCACTAAATGGAGCGATGACCTAAAATGCAATGCAGGGAGTCAATGGAAGCAGGTGGATCAGGACTGTTCTTTATGGCAGGCAGGGGAAGGCTTATGCCCAGCAGTGGACGGATAATGGCTGAAACGATGATGATGATTAGTTTATACTTACTTGGCATACTACTAACGCTAGTAACAAGAGTACTAGCAACGCTATGACGCCCCACACCACGCCAAGTTGCGTCAGAGCGAACACGTATAACGTCCTGTGACACCATTGGTTAGGCTCGAACAGTGTGGGCGCGTAGTCAGGCCACAGGATGCCCAGTGTCCAATAGTTGCCGAACGCAAACCTGCGAGAATACAAAGATAGATAGATAGATAGATAATTTATTTGCATTAATTACAGCACACAAATTACAATACAAACATACACATAATACACAGTAAAAGAAATAAAAGAATGAAAATAAAAAAGCAACAAAAAAACCAAAAAACAAAATATATAAACTAACAATTTCCTTTCTTTCCTTTCCTTCATGCGTGTGCCATAGTAACACAAAATGGTCACAACTCAGTTTGTTGCTTTGCCCTCAAAAGAGCAAAACACTGATATTCTGCTGTGGCCAAGAATAAGAGAGAATAATCATCAATCATCAATATATAATAATAAAACCGTAACTCTACAGATTTATTGTTAGCATAGATTAGTATGTACAATAAAGTATTAAATAAAATAAATTATATACAATTCAGAAGTAGATGGTAGATACTGGTGGTCTACCATGAAATGAAATTCCGAAATTTCGCGCTCAATTTCGTGTTTTTGTTCGTATCAAAATCGACCCAGTAAATGGAGTTTAACATTTCGTTCATCATAAATACTATCCTAATAGTCCAGAGGAACGATATTTTAACATTTTTAATAATTTTAAACGGCATGTATTATATAAATTCAACATCAAATTTCTGTTTCGTTCGTCCCCAAAATTTCGGAAAATACTTCATGGTAGGCCCTCTGTATTTATGGAGAAGCCAAACTTTATCTACTTATGACATAAAATGAACGGGCTTCAGTCACAGAATGAATAATGACATCAGAGTGAGTCATCATGAAACGGAAATGAATAACATAATAAATGGCAGCACTTGTACTCTGTGACAACACTGATTTCTCTAGTAGGTATGTATGCATGTGTCGCGTTTCCGTTTCGAATCAATTCGAACGCTGCGGTTGACGGGGATTTAAATATGAAGCTTGCTTCCGGATATTAAACAGCATCTTTACATATATTACTGACTAGCAATGTGCCTTGGCTCTGCACGGGTAGATTAGATAAAGGCAAATTATTTCATCTTCATATTAGCTTTTAACTGTCCACTATTGGACATAGGGCTTCCCTATAAAGAGGGTTTTTGCTAATAGTTGCCTTTCTGGGCAGGCGGTCTGTCTATTATTATCCATAAATTACCGACTTACTCTATACACAATATAATAATTTAGGTACGAAACCATCCTTTTATTGAGGATGGAGATGAAATATCCCTAGGCACGTGTAAGGTACGTGTTTGACGTTTGAAGGGCAACAATAATAGCATTACTTGGGATCCCTTATTATTTTATATTAGCAAACAAGTGCTCCACGTGATGGAATACGGCAATCATTGCTTATAGACATTTTTTTATACAACTTAGAATGGCAAACAAGCTGACGGCCCACCTGATGGAAAGTGGTAACCGTCGCTTATAGACATGAGTAGTACCATGGATATAACAAAATATACTGTTTCGCCCATGATACCTCCTATGAGGGGGAAGGGATTGATAGTAATGGAGAGGTTAGTCCCCATTGCTATCAATACACCCTATCGGGTCGACATCTACGTGGTTCCTCCTGGAAATCATCGTGATTAATTTACTGTTGAATTCGTCACGATGGGCTAACTGACCTGCTTTTTTATCTTCACCGATCATTCCTCACTGGTTCATCATTCCATTATCATCCATTAAAAAAAAATACCTCCCATGTGTTGCCATTCCTGAGGACTCAGGTGTTATTTCTCTGTACCCTGTAAATTCACTGCCATATCGCACCCTTCAAACCGAAACACAGCCATAAAAACACAACTGCTTCTCAGTAGAAACACGAATGGGACAGAGGTGTCCAAGGAAACAACTTTTGTACAAAGTCTACCTCTGGTAAAATAATAATATTGACTTCAAACTAACACTGTAATGCCCGTAGTGCCTCCTATGACCTGCCACTCTTAGGAGTCATCTATTATTCTAATGTGTAACTATTCCTGAGACTACAGTTATAAGTTCAATTATATGGAACATTGGATTAAAGAAAAAATCTATTTATTTATATATACCTACTCTTAACAATAGAAGACATAAAATAGTTTTTTAGAAATTTTGTTTGTTCTGGCATTTTGCATAAATGACTGTACAAAATTAAGTAAAAAAGTAGTAAATAAAAATTCATTATTACATATAAAAAAAAAGTTTACCAATTTATTATTTAAAAATTTCGTTTACAATTCCCATCTTACCATTATCAGAGAGCCCATCTCAGAAACATCACAACCGTATTAAATTCGTCGCTCGTTTAAAAAAAAAAGATGCAAAGAGAAAATGGGATAAATCTATAAATAAATTTTCGTATCGTTTTCTCTTTGTCTCGCTTAGTAACTTGATAAAATAAGGTATTAAAGGAAAACGCCCGTATATTGTATGTAATTTCGGAAAGAGCTTTGAAAAATTATTCAATTAAATATTCAAGAAAGCAACTTGTTAAAACATAATTCTTTGACACTGGATTTTTTACGAAAACTTTGTCTGTACATCTCAATAATTATAAAAAAAACACGTTCCATAAAAAAAAAAAAACAACAAAATCTTTGAGAAAATTGTCAAAAAACCAGATATTTTGTTTTAAAAACTGAACTACTGAAATTATTCAAGTTAAAATTTCTATGTGACCAATTATGTATGTATATTTTTTCATATAATAAAAAAAATTTCCAAATCGGTTTAGAATTGGCAGAGCTATGAAGTAACAAACATAAAAAATACAATCGAATTGAGAATCTATTTCTTTCTGGAGTCGATTGAAAATCCCGTATCACTATGGTCATTCCGCAACCAAAATATCCGAAACCGCTCAACTGATTTCAATGAAACTTTGTAAGTATTGTTAATTCCAACCTGAAAGATAGGATAGGACTCATTAAAATCAGTCTAGCGCTTAGGATAATAGGATTAGCCGTGGTCCCAGCATAGGATAAGCCATCTTTTTCTTTGGCGTGGGTGTCATAAGTGGCGATTAATCGCCTCTTATGAGGGAGAGATGGACAGCAGCGTCCCTCTTGAAACACCACCAAAAGCCAAACTACGGTTGCCAACTCGCCTGCCAAACGTGGCAATTACTGGTAAAAGGCTATATTCAATAATCGATAATTAACGACTGACACAACCGTGAAGCATGGCTGTGTTTCGGTTTGAAGGGTGGGATATGGCGTGAATTTACTGGGTACAGAGGAATAAAACCTGAGTCCTTAGAAATGGCAACGCATGGGGGGTATCATGGGCGAAACAGTATACTCTGTTATGTACATAGTACTGCTCATGTCTATAGGCGACGGTTACCACTTTCCATCAGGTGGGCCGTCAACTTTGTTTGTTATTCTAAGTTGCATAAAAAAATCATTTTTATAATTTAGAATTATATAACGGGCTATTATTATAAGAAAAAAATATTTCTCTAAAAAGAAAAAGTTGATTACTAAATATTGAGAGGTTAAAACTTTTTGACAAAGCGTAGGTATATAAGTATTCGATAATTTGGAAAATTATTTGAAAAATTTATTTCGTTTAATAAAGTTTGACTTGAGCAACTTTTCGACCCTTGGGATGTGTCGATTTTCAAAGGAAAATTATTTTTCGTTGTTCGTTTTGAAATATGGTATTTCTTTTATTACTTTTTTTTTAATTTAATTATATGACCTTTGACTGGTAATTTGTTTAAGGTCAAATAACATAAAAAAATCGATATTATTGTCTTTTTTAATTTTTAATCGACTCCACAAATTAGGAACTTCTTAATGTGGTTTTATTTTTTTATTTTTGTTACCATATAACTGCATCATTTATAAACCAATGTGGAAAATCTTTTACCTGAAAAAAATTGGCAACGCTTATGGGCATCGCAGTTAATTCTATGTCTTCTATAGTATCAGTCATGTTTATCATTGACGTCTAAAACTTTCCATTAGGTGGACTGTCAACTAGCCACCATGATCACCAAATCAGCCATGAATTTTCCCCTGAAAATAGACGTCCCCTTAAGAGTTTTTTGCCAGTAGTTGCCACACTTGGCAAATGGATTGGCAACCTCTTAAAACCTGATGATCATACCTCGACAATTAAGTTCCCTTACTCGCGTCTTACGACACCCACGGGATAGCAGGGGATGGCCTATTCTTTACCAGGATTACACAGCTTATCAACTAGTATGTCATTTAGAACTAAATACTATCACTTACCATCCCATGAGAAATACAGTGAGAGTATAAGCCAGAACTCTCTCAGGTACGCTGGCTGAGGTGTTGGAGCTTCTACTGGCTAGCTGAGCCCACAGCAGCCAGCAGATGCCTGCTCCTCCGGCGGCTCCACCCACAACCATATACACTGGTATCCGGGGCTCGGCTGGACAATCTCTGATATATTGAACACCTGGGGATAGAAAGCACACATGTATTTTTTGTTTTATTATATATATATAAAATAATATATATATATATATATATATATATATATATATATATATATATATATATATATATATATATATATATACCTGATGGAAAGTGGTAACCGTCGCCTATAGACATGAGCAGTACCATGGACATGCCATGGACATAACAGAGTATTCTGTTTCGCCCATGATACCCCCCATGCGTTGCCATTCTTGAGGACTCAGGTGTTATTCCTCTGTACCCAGTAAATTCACGCCATATCCCACCCTTCAAACCGAAACACAGCCATGCAAACACAACTGCTTCACGGTTGAAACACGAGTGGGACAGAGGTACCCAAGCAATCGACTTTTGTACAGTCTCCCTCTGGTAAATATAGATGATCGCAGAGGGATGGGCAGCGGCGTGCCTCTTAAAACATTTCTAAAAGCCTGAATGCAGTTGCCAATATATGAGTTGCCAAGCTTGGCAACTGGATTGGCAACTGCTATTATAATAATAAAAAATAATAAACGCTATTATAATAATAGCAACAGAATGCAGTTGCTAATCCAGTTGCCAAGCTTGGCAACTACTAACAAACCCCCCCAAGAGGGAAGCTCTACTACAGTGGACAGTTAAAATTAACTCAATATTATTACAAAATGTATATTATATTTCTTATTACAATAAAAAACAAGTCAATAATATTACAGATATCTTGATATATAAATTTATACAATTTTCCTTAAAAATTTTAAAAAATTATTATAAGACAAATGTATTTTATATTGTTTAATTAAACTGAAAAGAGTGTATTTATAAAAAAAAAGGGAACTCTAATGGATATGAAAGCACAGTATATGTAACAGTAAGTACATGTAATATCGAAAGGTTAATAAATGATTTTCTATATTTTATTCCTATATGAAATGTCAAATATTTTTGTCCCCTTTTCTAACAGTACTACTGCTTCAGGAAAAAATAGTACTTACTTATTGAGTCATATTTAAACGGCTAAAAAGATGTGAATGAACTTTGATACATAGATTGACCTTAATTTAAATAAAATATAAATATTTTTTTATTTATTTGTCCATTTATAAAATAATAAATACAATAGTTTTTTAAAAAAATTTTTATACAACTTAGAATGGCAAACAAGCTGACGGCCCACCTGATGAAAAGTGGTAACCGTTGCATAAAGACATGAGCAGTACCATGGATATGACAGAGTATACTGTTTCGCCCATGATATTCCCCATGCGTTGCCATTCCTGAGGACTGAGGTGTTATTCCTCTGTAACCTGTAAATTCACGCCCTTTTAAAGAGAAGTTAAAGGTTTTATCACTAAACAATCTCTTCCAGACAACTTTTGGGTTTAGGACATTGAGGAAAAGACAAAGGATACTATGTTTTTTTTATTCCACTCAGGTGGCAAACAAGCATACGGCCAACCTAATGGTAAGCAGTTACCATAGCCATAAAATGGCAGGGCGTTTGGAGGTTAATAGAGAAAGATTGTACCGACATCAAAGGATGGCATAAGGCACTGGCATACTAATTACTATATTATATTATTTGTTATTGTCTAATTCAAGTTAAGATTAATCAAGTGAACTGTATTGATAAATTTAAATTAATTTGAAGCAACATACGGTATCTACTATACATGTAGGAGGGACCGATAAATGTATTCCTATCAATTCAATATGTCTAGATTCATTTGTACGCCCGAGTCCGTGGCTAATCCGACCCATGTTTGATTACGAGGCCCGGACAGTGATTACATTCGAGCGCAGATATCAATATTTATCCATACAATTGGTATTGTGGAGGCCGAGAATGGGATTTTATTTAAAATGGAAATTATTTTATTTTATAATATCACTTTTTAAGATTCCGTTGTTATAATGGTATAAAGGGACCCTTATGATGAGATTTTGTCAATCCGTATTTTTAGCAATTTTTAAAGCCATCAATTTGCAATATGGAATACATTTAGATATTAGCTTACACTTTTGGAAAGAAAATATATATTTCTCAAACATGCTTGGGAAATGTGAGCATTATTTTGACAATCTTCTTCGAGATAAATCAAAATTGCCGTACTGACCAGATACATGCGGGCAGCGGCCGGCAAAAGTTGTATGAAAATCCATATCTGTCGTGTTTTGCGGCCAGATAAATTACTATGTAAACTCATATATGTCCTGTAATTTAAAAATGGAATGACCTTTTACTTCGAAACATGGCTACCAAGGAGGTAACTAATAAAAGGTTTTATTTAAATTTCGAACTGTCTTACAAATAGAAAGCTGTTTATTACAAAAAAAAAAAAACAAAGGAACATTATGGCGCGTGAAAAGTTATTATTGTTCGTTATTTGTCATTAAACTTAAAAAATAAAAATGTATTTTTGATATTAATTCAAGTTGCACTTTTTTACTCGATTTTATTTTAAAATATTGTTTGTTTTTGTTTTTTTTTTCTGATTCTGTTTATCTCAAAGTGAAAGGTAAAAGACTTTGTCCATACAACCCACTTTTTTTTCTTCTTGCAGCCATGACGAATATGATCATTTGAAATTACTTTTTTTTTAAAACACAGGAGGCAAACGAGCTTACGGCTCACCTGATGGTAAGTGACTACCGCCGCCAATGACCACCCACAACACCAGACTAACAACGAGTTAAAATAAGTATAGTAAACAACTTTAATTCTTAGTAATAATTAATTATTACTTATACAGCAACCATTTTGAATTAATTATGTAACAAGATCAATTTGTTATGCTGGGATTGCGGTCGCATTTCGTATAATTCTTGAAGTGACGTAATATCCAATTAAAATAATTTCAGGTTACTATCAGGGTATAGCAATAATTATGATATTAAAATAATTAAGATTCTCTCCATAAGCTTATGCAATCGATGGATGGCTACGAACTTGGTCTTAAAAATTAACTTTAAACTAAGCTAGTTGTGTTTTTTTTTTAATGATTGATAATGAAATGGTAACCCCGCCTGCGCTAACAGTATACACTGGCGGGGCATCAGTGAGGGATGATAGGTGAGGATGAAAACGCAGGTCAGTTAGTCTCTCGTAACGAATACACCTAGAATACAGCACGATGGTTTTCCGGGGGGGGGGGGATGCGTAGAGGTCGATCTGGTAAGGTATATTGCTAGCAATGGGACTGGTACTTCACGTTATTAACAATCCCTCACCACCCACAAGCTACATGCTTAGTATGTTATTATTTTATTAATTCAGCCGTTAACTGTCCACTGCTGGACATAATCCTTTCCCATAAGGGGAGGTTTGCCAGTAGTTGCCACACTTGGCAAACGGGTTGGCAACCGCAGTTAGGCTCTTAGAGATGTTTCAAGAGGGACGCTGCTGCCCATCCCTTGCCCTCCCTTAGTCGTCGACGACACGGGAAAGGTAGGGGCGGCCCATTCTACGCCGGGACGCACGCGAAAAGTGGCATATAAAAAAATCCTTCTGCTATGGTGCAGTGTGAATTTAATGGTAGTTGTTATAGCATAATTATGGTAATAATATAACAGTAATAAATTATTTAAACTGAAAAAATATTGTTGTTATAAAAGACAGTATGTGTTAACTTTTAGACTTTCGCGTCGCATGTTTTATGTTTTGCAAGAGACGGGAACTAATGTCATTTAGGCAAAAAGTATGATAAATGTACCTGATTTATTTTGACTAGGTTACACCTACAGAAATAATTACATTAATTCCTGTCTCTTATAAAATATAAGACACGGTTTACGTTACCAGAGGGAGACTTTGTATAAAAATCGCTTACTTGGCCACCTCTGTCCCATTCGTGTTTCTACCGTGAAGCAGTTGTGTTTGCATGGCTGTGTTTCGGTTTAAAAGGTGGGATATAGTAGTAAATTTACAGGGTACAGAGGAATAAGACCTGAGTCCTCAGGAATGGCAACACATAGGAGGTATAATGGGCGAAACAGTACACTCTGTTATGTCAGTATGTATGGTACTGTTCATGTCTATAGGCGACGGTTACCACTTTCCATCCATATATATATAAATATATATTATTATACACATATATTATATTAATTCATTTTACCGATAAAATAATCGCTTAAAAAGATATAAATGTATTCGATTTCACTCTGTACTAGTTTTTTTTTTTTTTACAACACAGGGGGCAAACGAGCATGCGGCTCACCTAATGGTAAGTGACTACCGCCGCCCATGATCACCCACAACACCAAAGGCATTGCAGGTGTGTTGCCGGCCTTTTAAAAAGGAATATGCTCTTTTCTTGAAGGTCAGGTTGTCTTATCGATTCGGAAATACTGCTGGAAGTCGATACCAAAGAGTGGTTGAGCGTGGAAAAAAGTTCTGCTAAATTTGAAACTAAATGGTTCTTTTGCAAAAATATTAATAAGCAAAAACCAAGTTTTATTCGAATAAAATTAATTATAGGTAGGTATTTTTGAATAGTCATTTTCATTCTACCACTCCAATCGGGACATAATCTTGGCAAAAAAGAACGGATAAGAAACTCGACTGTTGCTACTTTAAACGAAATTCAAGTTTACAAGTTAAAAAGTTATGAATACAAAAATGATCTTGATTCATTTGCGAATCAACAGATAGTATGTTCTTAGTAATTAATAAGGAAATGGTAATGAGAGACAATTTGTTTTCTAAGAACCATTTAGAGCTACAAGTGGGTAGTCAGATTGTTAGATGGATCTGTCGATTCATCTTCTAAATATAGATTGTACGAAATAGTCCGCGTAATACACAAAGTTCGTATTACGGCTGCTTGTTTTGATTGCTTATTCAAAACATGGTTTAGTTTCAATGGCAATGTAATTAAAAATGTTAATTTTAAACTTATTGTATTTTTATATATTTTTAGATTTATTTATGACTTTTGGCCACAACAGAATATCAGTGTTTCGCTCTTTTGATGGCAAAGCAATAAACTGAGTTGTGACCATTTGGTGTTACTATGGCACACGCATGAAATGAAAAAAATATGTTACTTTTTATGTATTTTGCTTTTTTTGTATGTGTATTCTTTTATCTCTTTTTTTGTGTATATCTATCTATGTCTGTTGCTATTTATGTATAATAGACAGCGGCTGATACTACAACCTAATAATATTACAGTTAATTACAAATTCGCTGTTATTTTTATTGTTTCAGATTTAATTTTGCATTATCTATTCGTCGAAGTGGCCCAGTACACACCGATTATGGGTGATGAATATTCAATTAATTATCAGAAATATAATATTAAGTGATTATTATTGGGTAAATACCACTTCCACCCGACCAACTATTGTATAACATTAGCTTTCCGACCTAGAATCCTCTATGAATATTCATGGTTGACAGTAACCATTTCTGGCTTTATTGTTCCACTCTATTTGTGGGTAGTATTGGTAGCTACAACTTAATAAAGGGCAATCCCCTACTGTTTTATTTTAAGGCACAAATCTGCAAACATTCGGAGTATTATTGAGTAATAATTATTGATAAACATACTGTATTGTTATTCCTGTATTAATTTCAAATAAAGTCGATAAATATATTGCCACCAATCTCCGATCGCTATTCCGTCCACGCATGTTTTGCGGTACGTGTTTTACCTATAGACGAGACATCTATTCAATTAATAGATTGCTTCTCAGAGCCCAGTATTAACAGCTCGGCACCGTTAATAAAAGGCTGTAGAAATTCTAGTATTAATAATAGTAGCCAATCTTCGAGTGTTGGCAGTCGCATGCATACTGGACCGTCAGCTTGTATGCCGTTCTAAGTTGTATAAAAAAAATACTGATTACGTAATTAAACAAAATAATTCTAATCAAAGCTGACGGCCCACCACGGCAAAATGGTAACCGTCGATTATAAACATGAGCAGTACTATGGACATAACAGAGTATACTGTTTCGCTCATGATACCCACCATGCGTTGCCATTCCTGAGGACTCAGGTGTTATTCCTCTGTACCCTGTAAATTCACTGCCATATCCCACCCTTTAAACCGAAACACAATCATACAAACGTAACTGCTTCACGGTTGAAACACGAATGAGACAGAGGTACCCATGCAAACGACTTTCGTACAAAGTCCCTCCCTCTAGTGAGATGCAACTAGTATATAATATTAATAAACGTTATAATTAAATTATGTTTAAAAAATAATTTTAAAATTATCTTTATGCTGGAAAGCGCTTTATAAAAAGAAGTATTATTGCCACAGGAGAAAACAGAGTTTGACTTGAAGACAAAGTGAGAGATACATACCAATGGTATTTGATAAAACGAACTCATAATTTAAGAATCTTAACTCACCCATTATCAGCATGATTACAGGTAACGTTGAGAGGCAGGCCAGGAACACTGTCATTAGGACTGAAACAAATAAGTATGTGTTAGTAAATGAACGGACGAATAACTTTTTTTAACTACCATATTATTAAAGTAAATTATTTATTTATTATTTATTACATAATAAAATTTGTACAAATGGCAAGCTTAATATCGTACGGAATTCTTATTCTTCATATAATAATATAGAAGGGCTAATATATAAAGTTGTAAGACTTCTGGTAATAATAGTAATAGTAAATCTTCGAGTGTTGGCAGTCGCACACATACTAATGGTAGCGGAATTAAACAAAATAATTCTAATCAAATAACCAAAATAATTTTTGTTTATTTATTTGTTTATTCATTAGTAGGTACAAATATGTGTACATGGCGGACTTAATGCTAAAAGCATTCTCTCCCAGTCAACCATAGAGAAGTGGCAGAATACTCGAATGCAGTACTAGTAATTATTGATATACGTACATACTAAAATTACATATATAAACGAATAAATATATATGAATAACAAATATACTTACACATATATGACATATACTATGTTATACACGAAATTGAGAATAATATAAAGCCCTTACTGCTCGGATAAAGTAAAAAAGTGAGCGTGAACGTTTTTTTTTTTGAAAGACGGTATAGTCGGTAGTCTCTTAATGGCATCAGGAAGCGCGTTCCAGAGTCGTGATGAATGTAGGAGAAAAGAGTTTGAAGCGTAACCAGTACGGTGAGAGGGGAGAGATAGTTGGAGAGTATTATTGGAACGAAGGTTACGCTCGTGAGTTCAAAAAGATACTGGAATTTACTACTTAAGGAATTAGGAGACTGGGGGTTTCGAAGAAGAGTGTAAAGGGTACAAAGAGTTCTAACGTTTCTGCGTTGACGAATGGAAAGCCACTTGAGCTGAGACCGATATAAAGAAATGTGATCGAACTTCCGAAGGTTGAAGATAAAGATAATTCTAATCAACTAACCGGTTTTCATTCTTTCATACAATCTAAAATTATGTATTTATCTAGTAATATGATGATTTTTCCCAAAAAACACAAAGCTTTAAATTATTCATATATTTATTTATTTATTGGAGAGCAAACACATCTAATTGCAGATATCGGCTCAAATCATCTTTTTTTTTATACAACTTAGAATGGCAGACAAGCTGACGGTCCACCTGATAGAAAGTGGTAACCGTCGCCTATAGACATGAGCAGTACTATGTACATAACAGAGTATACTGTTTCACACATGCTACCCCCCATGCGTTGCCATTCCTGAGGACTCAGGTGTTATTCTTCTGTACCCAGTAAATTCACGCTATATCCCACCCTTTAAACTGAAACACAGCCATGTAAACAACTGCTTCACGGTTGAAACACAAATGAGACAGAGGTACCCAAGCAGTCGACTTTTGTACAAAGTCTCCCTCTGGTATCGTTTAGTAGTAACAATGATATTATTAATTATAGAAAGTGTTAAATATTTTAATATACTTACTAGTTCTGTTCATAATTTTAGCAGCTCGACAGACAAAGTCGACAGTCCCTGATGCTTCCATATTGGCGTCTTTCAGTTGGTAGGCCACGGAGCCGTAGGTAGTGAGCCCTACCCCGAGGCCCAGGCCAGTTCTGTCGTTATACTTGGCCTGTTCACCGCATAACCTTCTTTGTTCATCACCTGATACCTAAATTAACAATATTCTATATTAAGAAATCTTTTCAACCGACTTTAAAAAGAAGGGGACTCATATCGGTCGTATTTTTTATATTTGTTTCTCCATCAGTTATAAATCGCTTTAGAAAATTATTTTTTATGTGAAAGTATATACTTTTTATAACCAATCTATTCTATTTAGTACAGATTGGTAACAAAGAAATTTTATCAACATCGGTTCAATGGTTTAGTTTTGCCACAAATCTTTTTTTTTTGTGGAATACAACCCGGTCCTGAGGGGGGAAAGGGATTGTTAGTAATGGAGACTGAGAATCCCATTGCTAGAAATATACCCAACCAGATCGACCTCCTCGCGGTTCTCCCTGGAAACTATCATGGTTTCCTTATGAATTTATCATGATGGGCTAACTGGCCTGTTTTCATTCTCATCTATCACCCTTCACTGGTGTTCCGCCAGCATATCCCGATAGCGCAGGGACTATCAGACTATTTTCACCCAGCAAAAAAAAAACCTGGTCCTGCAGAAACCTCTTTATCCCTTTTTTGAAGAACCCCATGCTATAGCCTCTTGGAAAAACCTCATATTGGTCCCTATAGTAATTTTATATCCATTAAAGGTTTCGTGAAATACCTTAATGTTTACGTGTTAAAGATTAAAGGAATAAATTGTTTCATTCACTATTGCGTGACCTATTCCTGTAACTGGATCTATTTCGTGAAATAACAGAGCGTGATTCCAAGCATTTATTTCATAAGAAAAGGAACGAATTCATTAGTGACGTGCCATAGTGATAAGTTATTCTCACTTAATTTATATTCTGAAAAAAATTGTGACTGAAAGCATTTATTTTTTTAACCATAATCATTGTATTAGACATTTAAGAATATATACTTTATTTTTTTTATATATATTGTTTTTATGGGCCATCTTTTACCATTTTTTACCATCGCACCGCTCGCCATCCACAGGGAATTCATCCTCACTCGCTTGAGCCTAAATGGTCACGTACAGTGCGGTTTCACAGAAATTTTCTTCCGTGAACGCTCAGGCTTCCGTGAAACCTCAGCAATGAACTCATTGCTGAGATTTTTCTTAGAGACTACAGTATGAAGTTCTTTATACAGGGTATATTAAGGTTTCTTCAGGATCGGCAATGTACACGTGACACCCCTGGTGTTACAGTCGTCTATAAGCTACAGTGACCGTTTAAAAAAAGTCATTAAGCTATTTAAATAAATTGCCATTTATTTAAATAGCTTAATTACTTTTTTATACAATTTAGAATGGCAAACAAGCTGACGGCTCACTTGATAGAAAGTGGTAACCATCACCTATAGACATAAGCAGTACAATGGACATAACAGAGTATACTATTTCGCCCATGATACCCCCCATGCGTTGCTATTTCTGAGGACTCATGTTTTATTCCTCTGTACGCTGTAGTTGTAATTGTAAATGTAAATGCGAATGGGACAAAGGTGCCAAAGCAAATGACTTTTGTACAAAATCTCTCTCTATTGTACTGCTACTTCTCCAGAAATTCGATACAAACCTGACTAACTGAACTGGAAGCTCGCCTGGATCCGGTATCTGATAATGCTCCCGTAGCACTGTGCCGCCCACCCACGGACGCCCTGTATGGAGACACACTTCTACCTTTTGTCCCTATACGAACAAAAAAACAACAAGTTAGTCATACAAATATATTATACAAATAAAAAGTAGTATAAAGGTTTTGTTTTTAGTTATTATCTGTTTATCTGGATGTTCGTTTCAGCTATAAGTAAAAATTACTGCACCAAATTAGAAGAGGTTCCACAGTAGAAATTTTTTTAAAATTGAACTTAAAATTTGCGGCATTCACAGTCGTTTAAACCATTTGATATATGTTTTATGTCAATACGGCCATCAAGAAGATGCCCATTTCGATGGTTTTCGAGTAGGATTTTGGAAATATCCGAAATCCACGTATACGAAACTGTAGAAAAAAACTAGTGAAATATAAGATTATAAGATAAAAAGAAAGTGGAAAAAGCTACCCAGCCAAAAATAAACCAGATAGCGGTAGCTAAAAATAAGCCTGATGCTACGTTAAAATTTATGAAAGGTTTAAAAATGAAAAGGAAATGTCACTGATACAGGTGGTCTGATAAGCTGAGGCTTGACATCTGTAATGAACTCATTTAAAACACCTAAAATAGTTCTTAGATTAGATTCTTAGAGTTTCTTAGATTTTCTTTCGTTTAATAATTTTCCAATCATAATAGTTATAAGTGTTAATAATAAAAATAATATTTTCGGTGGGTAATTACATTGATGTATAAATAACCTAGATATATAATTAGAGATATGTAATTTAAAAAAAAATTAAAGATAAATACATCATCATCATTATAACCTATTATAATCTTATCATTAATCACCAATTTATCCCATAAAAGAAGGATTTTACTCATTATCATAGATAGATAGATACTGTTTATTGTTTCCTCCAAAAGATTACAACAGTACCCTTATTCTAGATATAAAGTTAGTTATATTATTATATAAATTCAAACTAATTAATGATGTATTAAAGTACAATGCAATGGTGTAAGAGGAAGACAACTCGAAATAATACCCAAATCGTCTTCTCCTATAAAAAAAAGAGAACCTACATCTAGTAGTGGAGTCTTGGTCAAATAAAAGTTATTGAAATTTAAATTACCTGCAGCTTGACTATCTTCACTTGCCCGCCTCTCTTTAGACACTAAAGGCTCTTGGAACGTAAGCGTCAAACTCCCTCGTGGACTAACCCTAGCAGTATCAACTTCACCGGTGACCAGACTACCTCTTGCACTTCTCTCTGATGGGGCAATACTGCCTCTGGGGCTCCTTTGCGAATCAGGTATTAACGAACCTCTTGGACTTCTATTTATATCAGGCAGCTCTTTCGTCTTGAATGGCACATCGGTTGCTATACTCCCTCTAGGACTAGTCCTAGGACTGGGCCCTAAATCTTTTTGACTCCTTCCCGGATCAATTTGTATACTTGCTACTGAATGCCTCGGACTCCTGCCTACATCTGGCACAAGAGAATTTCTAGGCTGATTCCAAGATGTGCCTTCTGGTACTAAACTCCGTCTGGGACTTCTAGCTGTTATATCTGGAGTAATACTGTTCCTGGGACTCCTGTTAAAATCTTGGGGATTCAAACTTAACCGTGACCCATATGACAAGTCAACGCCTAAATTATTTCTATTGGGCGCGAGATTATTCCTTGTTGACATAGCAGTGTCTGGAGTAATGGAGTTTCTAGCTGATCTTACTTCAGGAACTAGAGAATGCCTTGGGCTACGGTGATACAAGTCTAAGGCTGCGTCAGGAGCAAGACTGGCGCGTGGACTTCTTTGTGGTGGTGGAGCATCCATTTCTTCATCAGTTTCCGTGGTAGCTAATGACGCTCTCCTTGAAGGCTGTGCTGAAGCTCTCGGAGATCTAGCCTGAGGTGAAGTAGCTGCACTTCTGGAAGCTCGACGACGCCTCGAAGAGGATGTTCTATGCAACATTTTGTTCAATGTTCACATCACTAGAGCTAATGGAAGCCTTGCAGCTTGCTGATTTCTTCGAAATGTTCCCACAGGACCTGAAATGAAACAAAACCTTTGTAGATTTTAATTTAATTAAAATATTTATCTATAATGTATTTGTATCAGGTCGATGTCTGTGTATGGAATATATTTAAAAAACGCCATTAAATTTTATTGTCATTAAAAATTGTTTGATCGGCTTTTAGTTTTGAGAGATTTGGCTAGTACTTGGCAGACGGATTGGCAACCGCATTTATGCTTTAGAGATGTTTTAAGAGAGACGTTGCTGTTCATCCCTCAATGTCGCCTCTTACAACACCCACGGAAAAGAAAATGTTTGCCTATTCTATGCCGGGACGGAAAAGAAAATGTTTGCCTATTCTGTGCCGGGGCTGTACGGCCATTATGATATAATATTTCAGAATATATGTTTTCTGTTATATATTAATTTAATAATAGTACACGGTCATTTAATTATAGCGGTACAATGACAACTCTACCAGTTAACAGATGGTGTATTTGTAATTTTAAACTTACTTCGCAAGAACTTCTCATGCGAACAAATTCGCGAGTTAATCGTAGTGAAGTAATAAATATAATTTTGTTGGCTCAATTTATCAATTTTAATATAATACTCGGGGCTTTGAAAAATCTTTCATTATAAGACTTCATAAACCGCGCAATTTAAGCTGATTGTTTACGACAAAATATAAATATTGTTTAGTAGGCGCACACTGTCAAGTAATCTTCTCTAATTTATGAAGGTCTCCGACAATATTACTTTACACTGCCTCTGTATTGAAATATATTTCAGAGAATATTAATAAACAAGTATCTAGCTTACCTAACAGTCGTATTACACTACGAAATATATAGGATTCTAATGAGTCGTAAATACATTTATGGAATATGGAAACGAATGGTGGTCAAATGAAATCACTGGGTGATTCAGTGGTTTAACATATTACTTCACCTTCTGATAGGCTCGGGCTAGATTCGTGTACAATGTAAATTATTATTTATGAGTATGTTTTTTTCTGTTATATCAGTATGGGTGTTTACCACGAGTAATAAGATATTGTAATATTGACATCAATATAGTATATATGATATCATTATGATGATACATACAAATATAGTTACAAAAATAAATTTATTTGAAACCATTTTTTTTTTATTTTAATATTACTGAACTTAATATTATTTTGCGGAAGTCCGCATCACTGGTTATTTGATTAGAATTATTTTGTTTAATTCCGCTACCATTAGTATGTGTGCAACTGCCAACACTCGAAGATTGACTACCACTATTACTACCAGAAGTTCCACAACATTCCATATTAGCTATCAATCTCTGACTGACTAAAGTTAACGTTTACAGTATGGATGCCGAACGGTTAACACTAGGCTTCGAGCAGTAACATAATAATTTATCTGAAGGTGCCTCGTTTAGAGGTGAAACACGTGGCACAGAACATGCGTGGACGGAATGACAGTTGGAAATTGATATCTAGTATGAAAAGTTGTGGAACTTCTGGTAGTAATAGTGATGGTCGATCTTCGAATGTTGGCAAACACACACACATATTAATAGTAGCAGAATTAAACAAAATAATTGTAATGCTAAACAGATTCAAATAACCAGTATTTGAATCTGTTTAGCAGTTGTCTAGTACACATACAACTCTACTTAATTTGTGATAATAATGTAATAATGTAACTATAGGTAGTTTATTAGATAACTTCTAAAAGTCTGAGAGAAATGTAAATTATTACAGTACTTTTAGGAATTTGTTTTACCAGTAAAACTCAATATCTTATCCAAGAAAACATGGATTGAAAAACTGCAAAAAAATTTGAATCTCCAATATCTGAGTTTTTATCTGTCGACCTACATTTCTTTGCATAAAATGTAGTTTGAAAAACCATTAATTAACTCAGATCTTACAGTTCTAACCAAATTTTTTTGTACGCTCCATTTTATACAAAAATATCATCAATGAAAAAATAATAAAGAACAAAAAAGCGAAGCAAAAATTGTTACAATCCATATTTTACTATTTGCACTATTGAACAAAGGAGCTTGCAACAAAGAATAAATGGCGCACAATCTCTTTGTTGCAAGTAGTTTAATAAGAAAAAACCCCATATCACAATTTTGACATACGTATTATAAGATAAAGTACTAGGAGTACTCTCCAACTAAATGGGCAGAAGCACTACTTGTATACGCAAATTACATTAAAATGTATTCCACGCACTCGAAATCACAGGTATAGAATCACACTATTTCATCATCATCAGAGGGAGACTTTGTACAAAAGTCGATTGCATGGGTACCACTGTCCCATTCGTGTTTCAACCGTGAAGCAGTTGTGTTTGCATAGCTGTGTTTCGGTTTGAAGGGTGGAATATGGCGTGAATTTACAGAGTACAGAGGAATAATATCTGAGTCCTCAGGAATGGCAACGCATGGGGGGTATCATGGGCGAAACAGTATACTCTGTTATGTCCATGGTACTGCTCATGTTTATAGGTGACTGTTACTACTTTCCGTCAGGTGGGCCGTCAGCTTGTTAACCATTCTAAGTTGCATAAAAAAAATCATCATCATCATCATATTAGCCCTTAACAGTCCATAACTGCTGAACATAAGCCTTGGGGGGTTTCCCAGTAGTTGCCATGCTTGGCAGGTGGATTAGTGACCACAGTTAGGCTTTAGAAACATTTTAATTGTGACCATGCTCGCCCTGTCTATATCTCGCTCTCTCTTAGTCGCCTCTTACGATGCCTGCAGGAATGGACGGGAAGACCTATTCTATGCCAGAACCACATGGCCATATAGCTATTTATAATAATAAAATAAAATTTAAAGGAGACTTTGTGGACAGAAGTTAATCTTATTATATTAATTTTAAATCCTCTCCTATAGTTCTAATTATTTCGGTAAAGATCCTTCACATAAGATAACTGGTACAGGCTGCTCCGAAAATAGCTATTTGGGTTTTATCGTTTCAAGGTTTTCGCTGTTAAAGAAGTACTTACCAACAAAAACACAATCGGTTTTACCTGAACACAGTTATGTACTTCAAGGGCAAAAGATAATCTCGGATTGTATTAAAGGGAAATATTCGAGGAAAATTAATTATGGAAACCCTTTTGGCCTTTTTACAAGCTCCAACGTAATGACGTCAAATCTCAAGAGTTCGGATATCACGGACACCAACATTATTGTGCATTCAATTTGTCAACTTGGAGACAAGATCGTTAGTAATTGAGAAGCTGATACTCATTGGTAGTAAAATTCCTTCTCTGGTCGACCTTCACACGATTTATTTTGGAGACTATCGTGGCTAATTCTCAGTAAACTCATCAAGGTGGGTTATGACCTGACTCCATGGAGGATGAAGAGTGAGTGATGATAAGGACCTATCATCAATCACTCTCCATCCCCACCTATTATCACCCACTTCGCCAGAAGGAGACTTTGTACAAAAGTAGTTTGCTTGGATGCTTTTATCCCATACATCTTTCTGCCTTGAAGCAATCCATTTCCGTATTTAGCTAGGAAGGAAGGAAAGAAGGAATATGGCAATGTGTCCTCAGGAATGACACCGCATGAACATAACCATAGGTTACACGATACACTCTGTTATGTCCATGAGGCTGCTTATGTTTATAGGCGATGATAACCACTTTCCACCATGAGCTTGTTTGCCATTTTAAATTGCATAAAAAACCCTCATACTCCACCCATATATACTGATTGCCCAATTACTATCCCATTTTCATCCTTAAAGATTTTTTTATACAACTTAGAATGGCAAACAAGCTCACCGCCCACCTGATGGAAAATGGTAACCGTCGCCTATAGACATGAGCAGTACCTATAACATATATAACAGAGTATACTGTTTCGCCCATGATACCCCCCATGCGTTGCCATTCCTGAGGACTCAGGTGTTATTCCTGTGAATTCCCTGTAAATTCACGCCATATCGCACCCTACAAACCAAAAGCAAAACCTTCAAAACACAGCTATGCAAGCACAACTGCTTTACGGTTGAAACACGAACACGAACGGAGGTACCCAAGGAAACGACTTTTGTACAAAGTCTCCCTCTTTCGATACTTCTTTTTGTTCTAATAAGCCTTTTACAGATTTACAAATTCTCTCTAATAAATAATTTAAAAATAATTGGACTTTTATAATTTTCAAAATTGGCGTTTAGGACTGTAAATAAAAAATGTTATGTCTATCAAGACCTCCCGATTTTCTTGTTAACGATCTCTTAACGTTATTTGAAAAAAAAAAAAAACATTTAAAACAAAATTGTGAATTCGTTGATTCATCGAGAGAGGACATTTGTCAATGTATTTAAAACACTCCCCATTGGATCTTAACTGCTATATTTCCCTGAATAATATTTCAATCCTTTTTAAAAGCAGGGGCATCCAAATATAGATAAAATAATTACAACATTAATTCATTGTTGCTATTCAAAACATTTTACTGAAATAGAATTTTAATATAAACTCAAAAGGAAAAACAATATCTGAGTTCTATTTATAACAGATATTGTACTCAAAACTCAATTACTTTTATTATAAATTCTGTCTGAAATGAAAGAAAACAGCAACTTGAATCTTGAGAAAATTAATACTGAACGGTGTAGTCATTATTTATTTAATTTATTTATATATATATATATATATATATACTCTCGTATATATATATATATATATATATATAAATAAATTAAATTAAAATAAATTAAAAAATATATATGTATATATATATATAGGTTGTAGTAGCGACCTCTTGTATCTTTATATATATATATATATATATATAAATATATAAAGATACAAGAGGTCGCTACGACAACCTTTACACTATTTTTATTTTCATGATCATTATATGGACCGTTAATGAACATAGTTCAGCATATTAACGGCCATATTGACTTCTTTATAGGGGGGGGGGGGTCTTGTCAGTAGTCGCTACTTGGTAGGTAGGTTGGCAACCACAGTTAAGCTTTTGGTCATGTTTTAA